AAATCGCAATCTCGTAAAATCAATAAAATTATAGAGACAACGATTATTTAGAAAAATTGATTTATCACACGGAAATTATCAAATTGTTTTACTCGACGTATAAATTACCGTATTATTTAAGATTGCTCGCTTTAGACCGAAGGGAAATGCGTTTAATTGATTTTTAATTTAATTAATTAATCCATTAATAAATTAAATATCCATTAATAAATTAAATATTTAATTCCTCTAATATATTCCATTGATAAATTAAATATTCAATTCCTCTAACATAAATATCAAACAAAAAGGATCGGCGTCATCAATGAGACGGACGCGAACGTTGTCACGATATTTACACGATATTTCGGACGCGTCCGCTTCGCGGTGACTCGCTGACATATGTCCGATTCTCTCACGTTATTACCGCGATTGTTGGATGTGCGCGCGTGGAAAGACGTCGGTGAGGAACGCTTTTACGGTACGTCGCGCATTATCACGTAAGGTAAGGCGACACCGCAATTCTACTCAAGGCGGCACTGACGGGCAAACGCGCAAATTACCATCGCGATTGCGGGTTTACGGCTAATAACGGCAACGCTACGCGGCGAATTGCAAACAAGGACGCGGTGTGGAAGGAACCTCGCGGTGGAGAAGGTGCAATCACTCTTTCCCACCGAGGGCGTAAACCGCAGGTGTGAACGACACCGCAGGCGGGGATGTTTTCCTGCGCGATTGCGTAAAATGGTGTGTTTGCATTCCGTCGACTCTCTCGGTTCTGTTATTTCAGAAAGGGTTATCCTTTTATTCAATTTCTTCGATATTAATCCCCGTTACTATTAGCTTCCCTGTGTGCATAATAATTTATCTCTGGGAAGCGCATACATTATATCGAATACGATAAAAATATTATTATATTTTGTATTTGATCTCGCGATTTTACGATTCCCGTCTGCAATTTATCATCCAATTCATCTTTATTGTACGCCTGTGTCTTATATCGCGAATTTACATAAAATTATGAAATCCTATTAATTATTCATGCATTTGGAAATCCAATTTGACTTGAAACCTTCGCATAAATTTCGGCTGTGAGATAATGCAGCGCCAACTAATATCACGATGACAAACACGCCGAGTGCGAGAGGTAAAGTGTCCCTTCCCTTCTCCCTTCCCAAAGGTAAATTTTAATGCTCGCTAAAGCAGCGAGCTGCAACGAAAGTCAAATTTATATATAAAGACCAAGCCGCCATTCTTCCCGAATCAGAGGGATCCGTGGGCGTTCGTCGCCGAGGAAGAAAGGAAAAGTCAAGAATCTCTATCTCGGTGTGTGTCATATGTAAAACTTTATCGCGTGTACACATATAGTACACCCACAATAAGATGCGCGCATCCACCGATACCAGCCGCGAATGCAAATGACGCGAGACGCCTCGGTGGAATTATATCATTACTTCCCCGGGGCCCTCTCTCTCTCTCGACGCGGCCGTGCCCGCGCTTTTTTTTAAATGAGGAAATAAATTAAGACGTAATGGGCTTAATAAGGCTCCGACCGGATGGCATTCCGCGACCGTGCCAGTAACTAATGACGGCGTTTGCGCGTTTTATGCCATGTCCGGGGAGCAACGGGCACCGAACGAAGGGTCCAGGTCCCGAAAGTCCCGATCCGGGTCTCCTCCCTCCTCCCCTCCTTCTTCGATTAATGTCCCGCGCGCGCGCGCGCGAATCCACGCAAATTGAATCGAACCTCTTTCCGAAGCGAATTAATGCGGCCATATACCAATCAGCGCGATCAGTGGAATGGAATGGAATATTATCGGATGATTGTAAAAAAAATCTGATAGCCTCTCGTCGATGTTATCGCGTGATTGTGAAAAATAATTTCGCGCGTATGCTTTGTGCTTTCTGTTACGTACGAAAAAGACATTACTACGAATCACGTAAATGTTGTTAAAGTATTGGAAAATAATTTATTATTGTTGTATTTTACTAATTTACTATTTACAAATCATAATTTTTAATACAAGAATAATCTAATTTCACTTATATAGCTCGCGCCTTGAATTATATTTTATCTAGATTTATAAAAGAGAAATGTGTCTCTCTTTTTTCAACATGGTTTTTGTGTAAATTGAACAATTCTTTATTGTAATTATCTCTAAAGTAATGTTAGCTTTATTTTATCCATGATATATAAATTTATTTCAAGGAAATCTGACTAATTTTATAAATGGACGGAATGAAATTGCTGTCTTCGAGTTTTGAAAAAATGATGCTCTATAAATATTGCAGAAAAATGCAAAAGAAAAATTAATTTCTTTACGTGTTTATTTTTTTAATTAAAATGATGAGAAAGTTTTATGAACATAATGCTTATAATTAAAGATAATTCACGTTTCTCGCGTGCCTGTTTTGATGTACATTGACATTATTGATACATTCTATCGATAAATTCACGACAGCGTATTAAATTCTCTCTCTTCATCAATACGATCGTAAAGAAAGCTGGGGGTTAACATTACGCGCAATTTACGACGTGTCGATGATAGCCCTTAGGGGAGCGATGAATGATTGGTGAAAAGTAATACGACGGTAACGATATATTATGATCCAATAACAATTTTTTTTGCTTACCTTGGCACCGCGAGTACAACTCCAGAATCCCTCGAATCCATGATTTCTGAAAATGTCGGAGACGAATCCTCGTAAAACGATGATATCATAGTTTCTTGAATCACTCTTTTAATTATCCTCACTAGGTTAAGTTATGTTCAGTTAGGTTAAGTTGGGTTCACTTTTGCACCTTCCCGAATTTTCATACTCCTGATTTATGACGTGTTGATGTACATGCAATAAAAAGATGACACACTCTCGATAAACACATGATAAAAAGATCACACTCAAGATCGAATCCGTGATTTGCGCGAAAATGACGGTCCCCCGAGGACACGAGACCTCATTAAAGAGGCGCGAAAAAGTTCACTGTCGTACGTTAAATCGCGATACCGCTAGTTGCTCTTTTAATTATCGCGTCCGCCGCTAGATGTTCGTCACGTCCGCTGTTAAATGCTCGTCACATCCGTCGTTCCTGAATTCTTGCGCAATTTACAGGGTGTCGATGCGCAACGAGATAACCGAATTGCTCGCCGCCAGATTGAATCCGCGAATTGTAATTTACGAAAATGATGGCGGATCGGATATCGAATTCTCGTTAAGCCGTAAAACCTTCTCGTCTCGTAAATTTTAGCGGCGTGAGAGACATTCTGGTCTTTTCTCAAATTATCGCGCGAATTTACGCGGCTTGTCATCTACTCGTCACTGACGTTACGGATGATTGACTAATTAAGGATATCTTTATTATTATTAGCATATCTTTATTATTATTAAATAGCAAGTAAAATGTACACAAAGTATATGTGCATACCTGCTGCGCGTCACTTTTTAACGATGAATATTTACAATTAATCTGATGGATTTCGGAAGCTTCCTTGTCGTTATTTCCGAATCGCGATAAACGATGTCTACAGTGATTGCGATTTTAAATATCTGAAGCATAGACTACTTACATTCTATGCGAATATATCAATGCGATAAAAGAGAGGGTAATAATTAGGTCAATATTACATTTGTCATACGACAAATTTTTTAAGCATATTGATTGGCTGCAGGACAGTAATTTTTTAGTAATTTCCTACCCAACCAATCAACGTGTTTAAATAATTTGTCGACAAATGTAAGATCAGTCTTACTCTTTCTCTTTCTATCAGAAGTAGAGGAAGCACAAACATTTTTTCACTCTACGAATATTAAAAGAAGATGGTGAAAATTGAGCGAGTTGACAGGTTTGCTTCTCATAATTGTAATTTACGAAAACTTTCACAAATGTATGAGGCAATTTTGTACAAAAAAAAACTCCAAGTACGCGGAGTCACTCAGTTGGTACCCCTAGTATCGCGAGTCAAGTGAACTAGACGACGCTGTCTATCCACCTATCAGCTATCGGCGTTGCATCGTGACGTAATTCAAATTTTTCTTGAGATAACTCAAGTTTTCTTCGCGCGTAGACGGATGTCGGATGCATCGCACGATTCGGGGAGCGATTGCCGTGTTTCTCGCGCGATTTATTCGTCCGATACGTGTCTTCGGGAGTGCGGAATGTCGGGAGTAACGTATAAAATCACGGGGGTTATCGTATTGCGTTAATTCGTATCCACGAGTGGTTAAATGTGGAAACAAAGAAGTGGACGGAGCGGGGCAATGGCAGTCGACCGTTAAGCAAAGAGAACCTTGCCCCTTTCTTCATGGATCTTTAGAATCGTACATATATCACGAATCGGTGAGTGTGCTAAAGGAAAAAAAATTCATTTTTAATTCATTACCGATTAAAATTATACAATAATTATTCAATAACTCACACAATAACTTCCCATACAGCACAGAATATTTCAGTAATATTGCAATATTGCTGCAATGTTACAACAATATTAATAATATTGCTACAATATTCCGTGCTGTATGAGCTAGTTATTATTATTAGTTATTATTATTATTATTATTAATTATTATTATTTATACAATAACTTTAGTTTATACACTGAAAAAAAAACTTGGTTGAAAAAGTCAAAATTTGTTTTGCCCAACTAAATATATTGTCCGATACGTTCAAATAAATATAACTAAAATATTCCGAAATAATTTGTTGATGTAAAAAAAGCTTATTCAAATCATCAAAACAGAGAGTTCAGTACAACAATGTACAGTTACTACAACAGAATATTTTTTTGGCAATATTCAACAAAATTTTTTTTTCAGTGTATATATATATATATATATATATATATATATATATATATATATAATTCGAATTTCTAAGAAATCTAATATTATTCGATCGCAAATTATGTAAAGATTATTAATCGATTATATTTTCCAACGGTTCGAAGCAATGGAAGAATTAACGGTGATGCGACAGTCGTCCATTAGAAAAAGAGCTCCGATATAAGTACCTCTTCTCATTCCAGAAGTACGACGGTTTCCGCTTATGGTGCAAATTGGATAGAGGCAGTTTATGATTGCGACGAAGGAGAGCAGCGGAGAAGGACAGAGGAGGAGAGAGATCGTGAGATAGCGGACAGATCAGGTGAGATTGTTACACGCGCAGGTGGACAAATTATCTCTATGATACGGCTTCTCTCTTCTATCGTTTGATTCCTCCCTCTCTCTCTCTCTCTCTCTCTCTCTCTCTCTCTCTCTCTCTCTCTCTCTCTTTCTCTCTCTTGTTCGCTCGTCCCGTCTTCTCTCAAGGTTTCGAAGCGAGCGACGATGTCGATGAGCGCATTTATATAATGGCGCAGCGCGGTTTGCTTCTTGTGAAAGAGGAGAAACGATCCTTCCAAGTTCCTCGGGAAGGAATGATGAAGAGAGAAAGAGAGCGAGAAAAGGGGGAAGAAGAGAGGTAAAGATTGAAAGAGACGGCGCGAGAGCAATGTTACCAAGTACAAATGGAAGGTACAGAACGATGCGAGCCGCGATGAGAGGGGCTGGAGAAGGGATAAGGACGAGGACGGGCGAAGGGTGGAGGCGAGGAAGAACAAGGGTGAGGAAGAAGGAAACGAGTGGTCTCTCTATGCGCGGATCCATCGGGGAAGGTGGATATTCCGCGTGGATACACCCGGGGATATACGGGAGGCCGCGCGGCGGTGTAAATGCAATCAAGAGGGCCTCAATTAGACCGTCACGCCGTACATCCCTCATCTCGGAGTCTTCGGCTTCTCTGCCTCCCTCCCTCCTTCCCTCGCTTTCTCTTTCTTTCTCTCTTTCCTTCTCTCTCGTCTTTTCTTCCCCCCCTATGCCTCCGACCCCATCGTCAATTTTGTCTTCTTCTGGATCTCGAAGCAGGGGAAGGCGTTGGGTCTTATTACGAGATAAGCGGCCGGAGAATTCGGTAGAGATGCGCATGTGTTTGTGGATACGTCGAGAAACGCGTCTGATGACTCTTAAAGCGTATGAATTTATACATGTATGAAAACACCCGTGTGCGCATAATATAATTATGCGTGTAGAATGAGTTTTATAATCTTTTCCAAAGTGAAAAATCTGGAATCTATAAAAGCAACAGTATGTTTAAATTATCAATTGGATAATTTGATATTATCAAATCTTATATTTTATGTAAATTTTTATTTGAAATTTGTATAAATGATTACGCCGAACTGCGAGTGTTAATGAAAATATTGTTAAAGTAAAAAATTGGGTGTGCTATATCCAATTTTATCCAAATTTTAATTTAATGGAAAAGATTGATATGTATATTCAATATCAATTCGATTTTCGAATAGATATTTTCAGAATAGATATCTCTAAAAAATCTAAAATAATTATTATTACATAAATAAACAATATGTGTCATTCTTTCTTATTTTAAAGTTAAAAACTTGAAAAATAAAAACAATCTAATAATAGATCGTACATATGCGTCTTTTTATACTAATTTTAATATTAATAATTTTTTTTCAAATTATGAACGTTCTTTAAAATATCCAAAAACTACACGAATTTATTCGAGAATTGAATTTTTTTATATTTTTAATTTGATAATCACAAGGACTTAACCATAGTGCATAAAATGATTAAATTTTTTATTTTATTATAAAATATAATTTCATTATTAATTTAAAAAATAATATAATTAATACTATTTTAATTTATGCAAAAATTGATTTCTATTTTTCCTGCAATAATCAAATTATGTATCATTATTTTAAATCTACAATAGAGAGAGAATGACACACAATTTATAAAAGATAGTAAATCATGATTGCTTCTGCAAATTTATTTTTTTTTATAACCGCTCTCCTTCGCGATTTACAAAGATATTTACAATAAATACGAGATAAATTTACAATAAATGCGAGATAAATTTAAAATAACTCTTTTTTTATATTAAAAAAGCTTATATGATAAAGAGAAAATTTTTAAGATCATACGTCACCTCTTCAATATTAAGAATTTTTGTAAAATCGAATCTTCTTTGCCCTGTGGCAATGCTTATACCTGATATTCGCCTCGGTTTAACAAATTTTGTAACGAGTTATTAAAACTTGGCGGTCCATTCTGAGAGGTGGCGTGGCAGGATACGCGAAATCGAATGCCGTTGAACGAAGGAAGCCGGTGCCGGGAAGTTAAAGTGAAGGCTACGAGAGAGATCTTGGACGACCGGTTAATCTGCATCCATCGCGATGATAGGCGAGTACTGAGCGGCTCGCAGGGAGGAGGGGGAGGGGGAGGTTGTAAGGGGGACCTTCCACGTTAACCGAGTTAGTTACGAGGAACCCCATAATTAGGGATTGTTAACCGGATAAAGCCTTGCGCGTGCTGCGCGCGAGGATATGAAAGAGAAAGAGAGAGCGAGAGGTAGAGAGAGAGAAAGAGAGAAAAACGAGCAGCATTTAAATGAAGCGTTGCTCCTGAAACGTTGAATGCTCGATTCCGGATTAACGTAGTACCTTGAAGAGATCGATCTCGTTTTGACGTCATCGTGAATCGCTGTGCAAATCGCTGTGCAAATTGTCTTCACTTAACGGGAGATTATGTTACATTAAAAAAGATACTATTCTAAATGTCTAATCACAATTTTGAAATAAAACAGAAAATAGCTTCTTATCTAGCAAACGTTAAGATTTTTAATCGTACGATTTTTATCGCTCGAAAGTTTATCGAAATACATAGCACCTGTTCGACAAGCCAAGTTGTACGCGCATTTTCAAGATATCGTATTCCAAAAGAAGAAACGAGCGGTGACGTAAATAGATACGAGCCCATTGCCTTCATCACTTCGGTTATCATCGAAAAATCGGCCGGAGCGATAAGCGGCCACGGTAAACGAAAGGATAATCGACGCAAATTACGGTCCGGAATAGATCGGTAATACGCGAACGGAACGGCAAGATCGATCGTCGGGGGCGTGTCCCCTCTTCCTCCTGCGTGATCGATCCTCGATCACTCGGGCCGCGTCGTCGATCCCGCCGCTCGTCGATCGGTATGCAGAACACGCAGCTAACCCGATCCCGAATTCATCGTGTCGGCCTGGCCATTAGCAAATTACTACGGTGTAAACAGTATCGACGGTGCCTGGGGCGATCGGCGAATCGCGTACATATGCGCGTGCACATATCGCGAAGGGATGCTGGATGCGCAGGGATCGGGGGTTCGGCCAGTTAGTTAGTAACCGGTGATTACGGCGACGTTTTACACCGGCTCTAGCCACCTAATAACCATCCACATCGCGAAATGAATCGGCAGCTACCATCGTTTATGAGCCGCGCATCGATCCAAGTCGGCTTTTCTATCGGCTTACATTCGGAGATTGTTTTCAAGGTGATAAATTACTCCTCTTTTATTATAACGAAAAAATATCCCTCGAGTAAGACTGTACGATTAATATAGCTTTGAATTAACAAATTAGGCGTAGAAAGAAACTCGGAGAACCTAAATGAAATTTTATCAAGTCAAATTATGTAACGTAATTATATTTCATCTATCCTGTAAGAAACAGTCCTCGTTTCTATTTGCTATTATTTTTTTAACAAAGGCATTCTATGTATATGTATAATACATAAATAATATATAATAATCAGAGGAAATCTTTCATTCCATTTACGTATCTTGGTGCAATCGCAATTACGATATATACGAGCGATGTAGAGAATCGAAATATGTAATTTAAGCGTGCAGTTCGATACTCATTTAAGATTATCGCAAAGCACATAATAATGTTTCAGGTACATACGACGCGCTCGTAAAATAGCCTTGATATATCGAGATAAAAGCGGCCCCATAATTCCAAGCATTAACGTCCGATTCCTAATACCATTTCTCAATCAACCGCTGCTATAATATCACGATTTTACGGCAAATTTACTATCGCATCTAATGAAATCTCGCGAGAGAATTTAAAATGCCGATCGGCGGAAACTCGCTTTAACAGTTTTAGAGGAAAGAAAATTGAAACGCGAAATACTATTGTCTTTTTTAATTGAATTTTGTGACTTTAAAATCCATCCCGCGTTTAATTCTCATCGAATTTAACGGTGCTATCATTTGACGTTTATTTATATCTTGATTTTATAGCAATTCTGTCCGCATGAGATGGGTTTATATTTATGAGATTGACTTTTTAATAGACAAAAAATCGAAATTTCTCATTTTAATTAAATTCTTTAACGAAATTTGACATTACTTTCTTATTGCGGAAGATTTTACGTGTCTCCTGGTACTTAAATCATGAATTATGTAAAATCCTGCGAAAGTAATAATTTAAATTGAGCGAGTAATCTCTTTTACGTCATTTATCAAGAATCGAAAATATGCGTTTTATCTCGAACGACCTAAAATGTTTTAAATTCGTTGCTACACGTCAGGCCTGATCGGCTAGTCGATTTGTCGGCGAACGTTCGATTTATCGATCGATCGTTAGTGGGCCTCCTCAAGAGGATGCTCGCACGCGGTTACACTCCAGGATACGTTACTAATTAGCTGACGCCCGTTAATGGGGCTCGAGACTCCATTAAACTGTAAAATATTTAAATAACTCGTCGGCCGGGCGTGTCCAGTCGCGAATTACTCGCCGTAAGTCAGTCTCGGGAGGCTCCTCGAGCACGGCCCTTCAAGGAGAAGGAGCACTTAATGTATGTGCGAGTTAATGGAGTATTTTTCGAAAAGCTGACGAGCCCGTAAATTAATACCGCTATCCGTCGCATACATCTCCTTGCGGCAAGATGACGGCACTGAAACAAGGATTAAATTCCTGTAATTTTTGAATAGTCAAATTTACACGCAAAAAAAGATTTTTATTTTTGATTCGACAGTCGAGTATATTGTATCAATGTGATTAATTTTATTTCTAAATATCCTAATTTATGTTTTTTGTTTTATACATATATTTGATTCTCTAATAGAAATGATTAATTGTAACAGAACCAATCAGCGAACATCCTTTTAATTAGAATCTTAAGAAAATTTTCGCTAAAGTAAAATTGATGCTTTTATTATAGAATCTAAAAACGGAAAAAATTCAAGAGAGAAAAATTATAAAATTATAAACTTATCAAATTAATCTTTGATGACAGGGAGTCGCTTAGTAAAAAAACGTGTTTGTCTTATTGTAGTCATTTATTCATTGCAAATGGATAGTAATATTAAGGGAGGTAATATTAAGATTAAGTACACAATGCACGCGACTGTTTCGAATTGAGAAATAAGGTGGAGCTTGTGTGATAACGGTGTCTTTTCAATCTCAACATCGATCTCGATCGTAATTCGCGAAAAAAGGTTTATCGCTCTCGACACATCGTCACAGTCGACGATTGTTACGGTTGTCGCTTAAATTGAACGAGATCAAAGGCGTGCCGAGAATCTCTTGACGAAGAAATTGAAAGTGAAAAAACGCCGTCGAAAAGTAGCCGGGTTATCGATATGGCTACGCGTACGTGTCGTTCGTTGTACATTATGCAAACGGGACAGGTAATTGCAAGTCGTTGTTAAAAATGACATGCGGATTGTTTACAATTATTTACAGGCTTATGCGCTAGGCTTATGCACTTGTAAAATCTATAGCAATAGCGTAGAATATCTTAATAGTAAATATATAAAGTTATATATAGATTTCTATATAAATAGTATCTTTCTTTCCTCTCGTTATCTAAATATATATAATGCGTCATGTAAAAGTAAATAAAACTACACGCTTTACGCAATCCCTGATCAGCGTAATCAGCAGCAATATAGGAAATTATTTCGATCACGACGGAAAAGATTGTGTGTCTATTTGGATATTTTCGAGCGAAAATATATTGCCCATTTTTTTTCTTCCAGTCAAATAGTCTCTAAACTCTCAACTTTACCGTCGTGATGTCGATAATCTCCAAGTGGACGGATATTTTTCGATGATCGATTTAGGATCGATAAGGATCACTTTGGAATCACGAGAGAGCCGCTGTCGTTTTCTAACGAGAAGAAAATGACAGTTCATACTCTTAGTTAATCCTAGCAGAATCAAAAAGCAGCTGCAAAACAGCTTTAATTACCTGTAAATATCTAATTGTCCTTTATATATTTTCCGTTTATATTTTCATAAATTTTATATATCTTTTTTGCAAATTTTCCGAGTAAATTTATAAACTCTAATATACATGCAGATATGTTTTTTGTTTATTCTCAAGTTTAAGTGAGTGTAATAATCTGACATATTTTTTAATGTGTGCAAATCACATATGTATTCATTGATCTTCCGATAAGATAAAATTGATCTTGATCTGATCGATCATCTCACAGCTCGAAACTTGATCCTGCTAAGATTAAAATCTGTTTCACATACATTTAACGACCAGCATATAATTGCGTTAGGCTAATATTTCACAAATTTGTCCCGCAACAAGTTTATCTAATAGCTTTGTGAAAAATTTTTTTTCCACGCTAAACACTTAGAGCGCGCGTTCTTGATATAAATTCATCATACAATATACATATACTAGCCTTAATAGAAGCTGACGTGATTACTGATTATGCAAGCTAATTAGAAAAACTTACCTTTCGATGCGTGTGAAACAGATTCAAGTGATATACGCGCCTCTGCGAGACTCTCGATTTGCGCATCTCTATTAATTCCCTCGCGCAAACGGAATATTGTAAACTATATACAGTAGAGTGTATATACATGAGAGTAACGGTAATTTTATTCTTTCTTCCTTTTATTCATGCTGCACGTGTTCCCCATTATCGGTTTCGCGTTATAATTATGATGTCATGAATAATGGTAAGTGATGAATAAAAAGAAACTGATTTTATTGTATCATGATAAATGTTTTCTATAAGTAAACGATATCATTGTCTCGAACTTCAATATCAGTTTAAAAGAAAAGATAATTCCAATTATATTTGTTTACCTTTTTATAAATTTTGTTTTGATTATTCTGAAATCGATTGACATGACCTGCGTGAAATTATAAAAACCGATTAAAAGTCTTTGAATATTAAGCCGATTAAGTCTTTGAATATTAAGCCGATTAAAAGTCTTTGAATATTAAGCAAATGATTATTTGCTTAATATTCAAAGTTAAATGCACTTTGAATATTAAGCAAATAATCATTTGATTCCAATTGATTTAAAGAAATTAATTTTGATTTTCATCACATGAACAAGAAGATGTTGTATGCTTAAAAATTTCGATTATAACAATATTTTCGCAAAATTCTATCACATTTCTATTTTATAAAATTGAAAAAAAAAACGTTAAAATATTATAGTTTCGACAATAGATTTCTCTGATGGAATAATGAAAATTATCACATGCTTTTCACGATCCATATAATTTCTTCGATGATAAAAAAATTGCTTCGATCAACAAACGTGCTTAACATATTTGCTATATACAGTTCGTTGCTTATCAATATGATTATAGTCTTTATTTGTCACGAAATCATGATCGTATATGTTAAGCTCATCGCGACAATCGATAACAGATTGATCGGATAAATATTCGAAGCAGGATCTAATCAACGTGACATTATACATAATAGAGAATATGTGATTTAAAAAATTGTATATACAATAATTAAATATCGCATTTGCCGTTGATTTATTTGTATATAACATTCGGTTAGAAACATGTGTTTTGATATTTCATCCGGATCAACAAATTCTGATTTGAATGTCACCAAGAAAATCCCATTAGTATATCGACTCAATCTACCGACATTCTTTGTATAAAACCTGTCGCCGATTCGCGACCGTCCAAAATCACCTTAAGACGGACTCGCGTTCACTGACTCCCTATTCAGTTCGCAACGTTTCAACTTATAAGATCGCCGTTCTTAAGCGATCTCTCCAGCTGTTGCTCGTACTCGCGAGCCCTCTGTCTGAGGGAGACGATGCTGTTAGTCCTCCTGTCGATATCCTGCAGACCCACGCTGCCCGTGGGCGAACTTTGCGGCGAGGTGGCCGTCGGCGGGGGCAGCGGCGCCACCGGGGGATGCGGCAGGACAATCGCGGGGGCGGACAGCGGCGGCGGGGGTGGCGAGCCACACATCAGTTTCGGCCGCTGCGCCGATATATTCGCCAGCAGAGTTTGAAACGATGCCGCGGACGTGTACGGCAGGGGCATACCGGGCGGTAGCAACGGCGGCGGAGCCCGATGAAAGGGATGAGCGGCGTAACTACCGGGGAGGACCGGGCCGTGACCCAGCGGCGGGTAGCGAAAGGCGTCGAAGGGCTTCCTGTGTGGAAAGGTGACCAGGTGGGCGAAGGAGTTCGGCAAGGTCGGCGCCACGACCGCCGACGGTGGTGGATACGGCGTATAGGGATGCGCCTGGGGCCCGACCTTCTCCTGTTTACGCCACTTGGCCCGTCGGTTCTGGAACCAGACCTGGAACACATGATGAACGAGCGGTCTGATTAGGCGCTGTGTCGTTCGTGGAAGGCTCTTATTGTTGGTAGGCCCGCGACGATAACGCCGGGGCCCGGAAGGATTCCTTTCGCGGCCTTCGGAATCCTTCGTGTTGCGCAATCGATATTTCGAATGGCGAAACCGATATTAGTCGTCTGCTGCTTATCTGCGGACGACCATTCGATCATAATGAACGAGTATTTTTTTATCGATTAATTTTTTCACCGCGCTGCGTCGTATAAATATTTTTTAAAAACGTGAAAAACATACACTAGACATTTTTCAGAGTTAGGAAAGTTTTCTATATAGACAGTATAGACAATTAATGTAGTTAATATAGACAGTTTTCAAATATTTATGACAAAATATTATTAAAATTTCAAATGGAGATAATTAGTATTTTATTTTTATTTGTTATACTTGCAGTATTTAAGATACATTTTTTATAAATTTATCAGCTTGTGTAAAAGAGAAGAATTAATTTTATTTAGGTATAATATTCAGGCGAAATATTCCTCATTTTTTGGTAAGAATCGAATAATATTTATATTTGTTATCTATTTAATGGCATTCTATATTGACAGTTCTTTATTATGAGTCTATCTAACGTGATCTTCGAACTATCGCAGCGATCAAATAGTGAAAATATAGATTGTCGATAATAACTCAAGCAAAGCATTCTTCTAATTTCAATTCCAGGTCAGGAAAGTAGTAGATAGATATTTTCTTCCTTGGAAGTTATCGAAACGATCCGTGAGAGTTCGAATTCCGGTTACAGTAACGCATTCTTCCCTTTTTAGGGAAGGTAAAGAGTAGCGTATCATTAAAAAAAACGTCGATTACCAAACCGAACATTGCTGCGAGGCAGATTTCTCTGCATCTTTCTTTCTACCTTCCTTTCTCTTTGCTTCCTCTTTCGTCCTTGTTGGTCCTTTTACCTGAATTTTACGTTCCTGCTCGAAAATTAACAAAATATCGGTTATAAAACCGTTACGTTAGCAATCGCGCTTGGCCTATTTTTAGTTTCTGACAGAATACAGAAGTATTTAAAATAATATCATATTAATATTCCTATATATACATGAGAGCTTTTAGCTTTTTTAGTTTTTATAATTATCATTCAAATGGCAATCGTTTTATTTATAATATATAATATTCAATATTCAGTTAATATATTGATATAAATTATGAGGAATATTAATATAAATTATGAATCTGAAAAAATTTAAAACTTTGACGTATCAATTGTTATGATTATTTCAGTGTGACATAAAACATTTTTTTCTAAAATATTATGAAAATAACAAGAAAATACCCAAATGTTAAATATTAATATTAAATATATTATTAAATATTTCTACAAATCGTTTTACTGTGCATAATGCAAAAAATATTATCGGTTTGTTCTTACAACTTACATATGTATTCGCAAAATTATGCGAACAAAGCGAAAATTAGAGCGTAAAACCTAACAAGATCTAATTTTGATACTCGTTTAATTGGAAAATTGATCGCGAACAAACCGTTCGTGATGCGCGTTCGCCAGATTCCAGCGCATTCCATTCCATTTCATTCCACAGCGAGACTTCTCCGAAGAGACCCGAGCATCTAATCAGTTCAGCGGAAGTTCGCTCCTTTTCATTCCTTCGTCAGTCTCGCATCTCTTTCCTCTTTCTTCTTTTTCCCGCTGTGTTTACCATCCTATCTCTGGTTGTTAGGTCGATTTTATGCCGTGCGCGGGTTCAACCGAACGCAAATAACGTATCGCCGATTTCGTTTTAATATCAAGTCGTGGAGCGGAAAGGGAGAAATGTCTCGTGACAGGTCGCAATGACGAGCGATTTAGGACAACAACAATTCAACTTATCCAATCTCTCCGCGCGCGAGCATCTGCCGTGATTCCAGCGGCATTTTTGTACCATCGTGTTTCCGTCGTGTAGAATACGATCGTATTCTAAAGTACAAACGCGCGGCTCGTTACGTCACATGTTCGAGTAGAACTTTTCAAGAAGCAACTGTCTATCCTGAAAACTATCCGGGATCTTTTATCGTTTCCGGTGATTATTTCCGCAGAGAGATGTTTCGTGTTACCGCTTGAAGAGTGCGAGATACTTACGAGTATTTCTCGTCGGGTAATTTGCGAACCGTTCTCTACCTTTTATAAAGTTTTTTCGTTCTCTGAATGCGAATTTAAATATGGATTAAATTTCAATTCACATCGTTTATTACACGAATTTCATCTCTTTACAGCTATTCATATTTTTTGATATATTTTCATATATTTATACTGTATTTTTTAATCACATTCGTCTTTTGATTAGTTACTTTTTTTTTTAATAATATTCATTAGTCTTTGAGAATAAATCAAGATGAAGTAATTATTATTATTACACATATGCAAATTATTTTGTATCAATCAAGAATGTTTTTTTATATAAAAATTATATTTTATATAGTTTTTAAATTTTTTTATTCTTATTTATTGTTATTAAAGAGGAATATATATATATATATATATATATATATATATATATATATATATTCTCTGAGACTTTCGCATCTCGAGGCAGAAGAATCAAATAACGTGTCACGTAGAAAGAACGTGGATAGTGATACTAGAAAATGATGTCTCTCCTTTTCATTCTCTTCATCGATCACAGGGTTGCGTAATAGACGAGACTTTACATGGCTCGCTTGTGTTTCCCATGTAGGAGAGAGATTTGCCTCATTTTCCATCGACATTCGCGGGATTCCCGAATCGAACGGCTACGTGTTTCATATAGTCGGCTTCGGTTCTCGACAACATTACGAGTTTGGGAATCAAAAGTACCGCCGAGAGATGTAGACACTCCCAATACGGTTCGTCACGGTGCGGCCTCGTCATCGCGCGGACGAGGATAAACGTGTGTCCCGATGACTCTGCGATTTGACGATCGGACTCGATCATTGGCTCACCGACGGGACGGCGACTATGAGTGCATCCCGTGAGAAGGATCCGCCGATCTCTATTCTGGTAGCTCGGTATCGAGAAAATGATTTCGATCGGTTTACTCGGTCTCAAATTCCGTCTTCATATATAGATCTCGGATTCGCTTTAAAGTAACACGTTTAGTATTATTAACAATTATAAGAGCGAGATTGAGGATAAGTTTCCTCTTAAAATTTATCAAGATTTATGTTCATATTTATCGATCCGAAATGATTATTAATTGCTGTACATTATTCAACAGCAATAAAATATCAACATTTTTCTTCTTTTACTCTCTCTCTCTCTCTTTATATATTATATATTCCGAAACTCTTTTAAGCGTTTCCGATTGGTTCGAATCAGCCATCGAGTAAAATTTTCCTCGGTTACTTGCGTTTTGGAACGTAACCTAAGTGTATAATGTGTGTGATATATCACGTAATTAATAGATTTGACAATTCGAATTAGACGTCGCACTCCTAACAATATATAAATCAATCATTCTGCAAAGGAGCAAATCTACTGCAAATTGAAACGCAAGATTTACGGTTGCGCAATAATCGATTACATCCCCGATATTTATATTTCGATTTTTATCATTCGAGAGAGAGGCAAACATACGCGTTCCGCGTGTGCCGCCCGCTCGTCTTGGAATCTCACCTAGACACACAAGAGATTAGAGACCCCTGGCATCGTTAGGGTAAAAATGGGGAAGGGGCTCTCGGGTGCCAGGACCCCCCACGGCGAGCAGGATTGCCCCCAGCAGGGCGCTAAACATCTCCGACTCTCGGCTTTTAAAACAAAACGCAAGCACGTCGCCGCCGGAACCTAGTCGTTTCGTGCTTAATCGTGCCGCATTAATTACACGAACGCCGGCTATGTTCGTTTCTTCTGCTTCTCCGCTTCAATCTTTTCCTCTTTCTTTCTTTGGCCGACAAACAAGATTCTCCCGCGCCTTCGACATGCCATGTATAGATACTTCCTCGAGCGAATCGTTCTTTGAACTTCTTCAAACTTAGTGACTATAATTGAAAACTTGATATAAAAACAACTAAATGCCAAAGATAGGAGATAAAAGTCAAGGCAAGGCACATTTATATCTAATAAAATATTTTATGCATAATTCATATATCAATATTATCTTGAAATTTTATTTTTTTAATGTATTTTATCATTATTATTTTAATTTGTAAAATAAAATATCTAGATTCAGAAAAACGAAAAGGGGAAAAAGAAATAATTTTAATTAATTATTTAATGTTAGAGTTATGCAGACGTATAAATAAATATTACTTTGATTTATTTTAACAGACTTTATTAATAAAAGCTTAATGTGTGAAGCTAGCGAATCATTTCGGACACATCAACGAAATTCTTTATTTCTAATAATTCTATAATTTTGAATAATTTAAACAAATATACGCAATCTTTATATTTTACCCACACACACAAAGTTCAATCTATAAACATTTATTGTCTAAAATTAATTTTATTAAATTAATTTTATTAAAGCAAAAACTCGTTTTATGATATTAATCAATAAATAAATATCTTGTATGGAAATGATTAACATGAAAACGAAACAAATATATATACGTACTGTTTATTTTGATGAAAAAATCTCTCTTGTGCCAGAAGAAAAGAATCCAAACGGCTTGGAGTTTAAAAGAAACTCCAAGCTCATGAATAAAAACGCACACGTCAAGCGGATTTATTCCATTTGTCTGTCGATTGCCGAACTTGCTGCGAAATCGATTCGGGGAAACGCAATGTCTCGCGTGTATCTTTTTCAAAAGACAGACGTCGAACTAAAAAAAAATGATATTTTTATCCGTAACTTAAGTTTTACTTGCGCAAGAACTTCCTTACGCGTAGCAGAAGTTCGCGACTTGTCGATTATCTCGTCACACTCGAGGAGATCGTAAAAATAATTAATCGTCGACGCTGCAACAACCGATAATCACTTTGCCTAATAGCAATCTGTTATTCATGCGACCGACAGGTTTCATCGGCAAACAAGTCTGCGAGACGGAACGTTCATTATTCATCGAACCGTGCAAAAAAATCGTATACTCGATTAATAGTCAAATCGAGAGCTGAGAATTTGTTTGCTCGAGAATTAGCGTTTCTTAAATGGACGCGTCGCGGAGATATTTTCGTGTATAAATGTTTTGATTTTTAGTCGAAAACAAAATAAAATATCTTTTAATCTCGTAAAGCGAACGAATATATCGAGCATATTTTGCTTTGGACATTAGCACTGTTTAAGATTCGAATTAGCATAAAATAGCTGCATCGAAGCATACATTTGCATGAACCTTTCCTCAATATGTGATAAGCAACGCAATATTTCTATTTATAGCAACCCGCATAAATGCGATTAAATTCATGGTGCTCCGCAATCATCCGGGATCGAGCGCTATTCTTAATCTAATTTAACCTTTTACATAATTAATGTGTATATGGGATGTTACGCACAATATTTTAGTTTTTTTTAATTTACCTGTTACTTATTATATGAAGATTTTATTCAATGTTATCGTTTAGCGTTAAATGTGCGTTATAAATATGAGCCACTGTCTTTAACGTCTCTGCGTAAAGAAGGCGTCCTCTATCCTCAAACGATACCGCGTATTTCATGAATTATTAATGATCACCAATGATAGGTCATGTATCCTAATTTTTGCGCGTTGATGCGCACGGGCAAAGCGTTCAGCGTTGAAAAAAATCGCACTTCATTCTCCACGACGATGTATTTGTCATGCATATTAATGACAGCTGACGGACAAGCGGCGACTGAATTGCCCGACAATCTAATTTTCGCGCGTTAGGATGAGCGAACAGAAATTTGTGGCACTAAATTTGTGTTCACTAAAGTCGTTTCTTACCTTGCTTATAAACAGATTCCTAATATATATTTGGTGATAGATTATATGTATCGAACTTAGCGCCAATTATTTTTTTAGTCGAAATCGAATAAGTTTAATCATTTCATATTAGAAATTGATATAAATATATATAATAAAAAATTCTTATTTTTGTTAAGCTAAATTAATTTTAACAAACGTAAAAATTCATTTAATTTAAAATACAAAAATTAATGAAATATTTAATATTGAAAATCAAAACAAATTCTCCCGCGCAATTCCATTCAATACACTTAGAAATCTTTTCGACTTCGTGTCTTTTGAGTGGCAAAAAGACATCGCGACTGAATAAGCCTAATTCTCTGAAATATTTTCATAAACCAACACGCGTAATCTCCCTTCGTTACGGCCCTGAAAGCAATTGACACCTCTATGGATCTCGCGATTGAAAAGGGACGCAGCTTCGCAAAGCCGGTCATCTCGCCGCAGCTAGCGAGAGGAAGAACGCAAGGTCTCTCGATACAGGTTCAGGGATTCCTGAAAATTATTAACGCCATAGCGAGAAATTACGACAGGCATGTCATTCCTCCGGTGGAACAGTGGTTCTCATCGCGTGCGGATTGTCGCGGATAATTCCTGGCCGTCGATGATGAATCGCCGATTCGCGGACGGTGACGAATTTGCAAGTATAATGAAAAGTATCGGGTTAACGTTAAAGCGTTGTACTTTCACGTTGCGAGGAAAATAATAAGATCGTGTAAAGGCGCGCGAGTGTGCGTGCCCCCGGAGTCAACAAGGGATGAAGAACTGTAAGACGGAGCGAGAGGTAAATACGCGCGGGCCGATTGAGAAAAAGAAAAAGAGTCAGTAAGTAAGTACCGGGAATAAATTAAACTAATTGAGCAAATTAGCCAGCTGTTCACGCAACTATGGCATACAGACACGCTCTTCTCGGCCAGTAAGAAGCCATCGTCGTCACGCAGAAGACGTATATTCGCGCGTTCCTTCGAATAAGTGAGAATAACAGATCCAACACTAAAAAAAAAATAAAAATAAAAAAAATTAAACGCGTAAATAGCAATAAAAATTGGCAAAATAGATATCATTAATGAACCCAATCATATCATCTTTTTACGTTAATATTTTTTACGTTAATATTTTCTTTTAATGAACCCAATCATATCATCTTTTTACGTTAATATTTTTTACGTTAATATTTTCTAAATAATATTTTTTTAAATTTTAGATTTGATATTTTATTAAACTAGTATTTTTTTATATTAAATTAAAAACATTTCTTACACGTAATATTTTTCCATGTAAATCTTACATCTTACATTCGATTCGATTTAAAATGCGAGTTATTTAATATAATAAACATTACATGATTAGTTTATTAAAAGAAAAAAATGCAAAAATACATATTAATCTTCTGAGTTGTTTTGTATGATACTTTATTATGACGATTTTAAAAATGTACTACAGATTATTTACATTTTAATGACATTTTATACGGCATTTATCGTAATGATTTACTTTTTATAGGTTTCCAGTTTTTATGTGATGTCATGATTGCATGTATGCGCAAAAGATGAAACATTATAATAAATACCTTGATTGTAGAACGATAGTAATAATAAAATGCAATAAAAACTTGAGTAGGAACTGAGAAATCTAATGATTGTTATTGAAATATTTAAATGTATTCGAATGGCTGTTTGAATACAAGAACGAACATTACTACAATTTAATTATGAATGCGTGACACACACACAAACACACACACACATGTTTTTTTAGTATTGATTAATCAGAAGTATCTAATGCCTTTAATGATCAATTTACTATTGTTCAAATATGATATTGTTGCGAGAAAACAATCTCCCGCGTTTATTACCAATAACGAGATCTAAAGTATTATCAATCGTAATTGATTTTTACATAATAACTCCTGTTGCGACCTCTTTTTTTACAAGTCGAGCAAATAATTAATATTAATAATGAATAATTGTATTTAATTATTTTGTTCGATAATTACTGACGTCAGTACTTGGAATCAGCGTCGATAATAGTCGCGATAATAGTAGAAATCAATTATACTTAATCATATTCTTGCTATAAATAGTTGTTTATATTGTGCATAATCATCTTTTTAACATTATGTAAATTTTCTAATAATATAGATATATGTCTTTATAATTTTTTTAAGCAACAATATAAGTAATAATAATTTGAATATTACTTCTAATAATTTTTTAACGATAATAGACGCTTTGAAAAAGATTGAAAAGTGAATAATTAAAAGACTCACGGTCGATGATTTTTATATTGCAAGGGTATCGCGTTTCGCCACACGAAGTAAATTATACACAGTTGGAGATACGTGATCGTGCGGAGAACTTAAGTAATTCTTGAGTAATTCTTTGCGCGCGTTTGCGGGCTTCGAAACTATTATCCAAATGTCAGAGGATACGAGATAATTGTTGTTACGCAAGAGATGCGCGATCGCACATTATTTTCACCTTCGCGCCAAAGAAGACGCCTCTAACCACATTATTACCATCAATTATTACTTCATTTTTCCAACCAACAAAATTTGATTTTGTAGCTGCTTATTATTAAAATAATTTCTAAATTGCGCCATAATATGCATCAATACATATAATCCGACATAATTAATTAATTTTAGTTCTTATATTACATTTAACTAGACCACAAATTTTTACTTATTCACTTATTAAAGAAGTACGAAGTTATTTTCGGAGATTTCATTATTTTTCAAATTTGAAAAATAGTTTTTTATATTTATATTATATTTATATTATATTATATTTATACTTAAACAATAACTGCAAGAAATAATTAAAAATCACGAAATATCCATATATTACGGATTTGATAGAACTATATGTTTAATTAATTCGCATCAGAAATGTAAAGTGAATTTATCTACGTTGTTATTTATTTAATATATTTTGCTTTACGCAAAATAAAATAAGATTCTACTGACCTGTATCCGTGCTTCCGTCAGGCCGATCTTCATAGCAAGCTCCTCCCTAAAAATAAAAAGGAAGACAATCATTAACACTAGAAAAAGATATCAAGGCTCTGCGTAGCCGCGGGCTTATTTCCGAGTGTGAGTTATTATTTTTTTCTACTGCGATAAACGCGAATTAACAGAGAGAAAATCGAGTTTCCAGTCAATTAAATATTCCTCTCTATTACTCAACAGGTCTAAATAATGATAAATAACCAGTGATAAAATTATTTTTAATGATTTTTTGATAGTCAGTTAAATAAATACATATTGTATATTACTTACATTTAATGTTTGAAAAGTTTTAATTATATCACTTTGTTTTATTAGATGGATAAGAGAGCTTCATTGTTAAGCTTTTAGAAGATTTTATATAAAATTATTTTTAGTCAATATTTTATGATATATTTCTTATTTTTTTATCGATCTGGTTTAGTTGTATTTGGTTTTTATTATTATTTCGATATTATTTTATATATGTTTTTTCGTACCATCTATTTTAAATATTACATATACATTCCGTTAAAAGGTTGAATATAAATTTTGTGATGTTGAAATCTCTTTTTTTTATCTTACATAATCAAATGTATATCTAAAGTTTTGGTCAGGAGTAATCGAACCTTTGCATATATAATTGTAACTATAATTATTGTCTCTCTTGAGCATGTATTACTTAAGAACGCAATGTAATTCAGGTAGAAAAAAAATGGTTTGCTTGTCTTTTAATAGCGTTAGGGGAATAGCGGTCTGACCTCGTATCATATCCGTGAGAAAATCGCAGAAACCGTTCTGCGAAATAGCCGGTCTCGTAAAAACGCGCGCGTTCATTACCTTAATTAGTTTTGCATCCGAAGACAGATTAACCGCGTATAACGACGCACGATGGGGATTAATTGCATTATGGATCTCGTAACATTATGTGTGATTTTCCGTTCGATTGCTACCTGCACGAGCCGTCGTGACGAGAGCTATTAATATCTATTACGAGATGATCAGAATCCGCGGTTAGCGCATCAGATAAAATTCTCGTTTTATGTAGGTGACTGTTGATCCCCCTCTCTCCCCCTCAACAGATACTCGGCTATTACGAATACGATTATCCGCGACTAATTGACCGGACTCGCGCAGCAGTAATGGCAAATAATTATTAGCTCTTGATATTTTACATAACGTTGATCTTGTCATACACGATACCGATCGTTTCCTTTCCACTCGATCGAGTTTCGCATCCTTCGCTCGCGGGCGCACATTACACGATGTCTGCACGTACTACACGACACTTTTCTCTGCAAAGCGTACATGTTTCGCCTCATGTGGAATGCCCTCGTCGTCTATAGAATTCTAAAGCGTATGCAGATATTGAATTAAGAAACTACTGATTAAGAAGACTGACGTAGAATGCGTTTCAAAGTATCGAGGATTTAATTTATAAACCGCAAACCTTTAATTTGAACCCATAATATAATTCAAATTGCTCATTGAATGTCTAGGTATACATTAATAATTAAAAAGTGCATTTTGTCACGTTACGTACACGAGCATATCCACAAGAGAGAGAGAAATCTTTCGCTTTGCTGTAAAGATGTATGTATCTCAAGTATTATAATCATAATAAATTACGTAAAGAGCGTAAGATTATAGAGATAGCATTACAAATGTAATATTTTTGAGAAGAGAAAGAAAATTAATAGTCATCGACTTTAATGTCATTGAATTTCCTTTAGCTTGATTTATCTAGACTAATCGATTGCTCGCAGGATATTTCCAATAAAAAATAATAACCCGTTTAAATCTCTATTCGCGCGATTTCACCGGAAATTGTGCGAACACATTTTCAATTTTTTCGCCTCTCCAGAACAAGGTAAAGCCGCGTAGAATGTAAGGAAATCATTACAAGGCGAAATACAGGAATCATGACTGGTGTCGAAAATTTACATTTCGCGCGTCGAGGATTCATTCATGCCGGAAATATTGCCGGTTTTCACTCTTGTTGCGATAAAAGAATCGGATGCGGCGGTGATCGTGTAATCGGCGAGTATATCCGGCGGCGGGTAGAGAAAGAAAGACAAGAAGGAGAGAGAGAGAGTGAATCGGGCAGTGAGACAGCCCGCCGGGCGTCTCTCATCTCGCAGGCAAATTGCCCAGATGTTCCACGAAATCGCGAAGAAATCTCGGTGATTATGCCACGCACAGAAGCTCCCGCGTACGATCGCCCGAATCTCGTGTTTAGGTGCATTTCAGACGGTAGCTCCCGAAATTACAGGGAATTTCGGCGCGAGTTCGCGGTCCACAGATTCGCCCGGTTCACCTCCCATCGATTTTATTATCGTCCGCTCACCTGATTTCGTTGCATTCCGTCTAAGATGATTCTTCCAATCGGTCATTTCGACCAAGAACCTTTCGAATTGCATTTTTATTATATATCGTTATATTTTTATTATATATCGCTATATTTAGTTTTAAAGCCGCGTCATTTTACAATTATTAATCACGAGGAAATAATATTATATAATTCTTTTTTTTTTACTTTTATATCAATTATATGTTTTATATCTATCTTATATTTTATTAATAAAATATAAGATTATTATATATAATTGTATTCTTATGTATTATTATGTATGCTTTATGCGAACGATAGTATTGTTTATTATTTATAAATTTTATACACGTAAAAATTGTAATTTTTGAGATTGAACTCGTCAAACCGGGTTTATCGAAAGTTGAGTCGGTAAATGAAATTATTAACAAAATGTAATGGAACGATGTTTAGCCATTGATTAATCGTCCAAAATGACTTTCATCGTGTATCGGCCGGTAATTGCAAAACGTATTCATGTCGTCAAATGATTTTGACGGCCCATACTCGGGCTTATTGGAGGAAACGTAACTAGAAGACGCGCGTTCATATATAGCCATGGTACTCTCTGATTACCCGTTGTCGTGCGCTAATGACTACTCTGGCGAACATAGTTGCAGACGGTAATTCGTACCTGCTACCAGGCGGCTCGACTTCGTTTTCAATGAAACGCCGAGTATGAAAGCGCGCACTTATCAGCTTCTTCTCACGAAAAACAGGCTCGCGCGCCACGTACGATAATGTATGTAGTTTCTCTGTCCGTTGTTTAATTGTAAGTGACTCACAAATGTGGAATGAATACCGTTGGACGAGACTATTGAAAATAAATGTTTGGATGTTACATCAAACTATTTCTTTTCTACGGCTATTTTTAAAATTTTATTTTTATTTTTTCTTTTTTTCATAAGACAATAAAAAGTTACTACAATAAAATAGTTTGAGATCTTATATCATAGAGATGCTTTTTGACATGTATATCTAATATTCTATTGTCACTCCAAGAATGAGGAAAATTATATTGCTGTCCCCTTCTGTCTGGCGATTTAAATATTTTATTTATCTCGTATAATCTTTGCGTCACTTTTCTGATCATTCGAGCACGATATAATCTTTATTAGATATGTGCATTACACGCACGAGTTTCGCAAACGCGAACGAAACGCACACCATCGAAGAGGCGGACGAGGCTCAGGCACCTTGGGGGCTTACAAGTAATAATAATTTAGCCTTTCCCTTTTTCTCTCTCCAGGCGCGTTCTCGCCGGCGTCCTTCTGGATTTAATAAGATCACGAAATTTCGCGGTTAGACGGACGTCCCTAATTACACCCGCCATTCACCGAGACTCTCGGTTACCCTCGATTCGCTCGTATCGTTATTATATGTCTCTCTCCTAACCTCGTCCACAATATGTCCTTGCCATGGGAAATGTGCGGGCTTCGGAAAAATCGCGAGTTGTTTCTATATATAGAGATTAGAGAGAGAGAGAGTCGTGTATTCGTGGCTTAATGGGAAATATGAGATGATGATGGAAACTTTGTGCAATTTCGCTTCAAAGATCAATTTGCTTGAAATCTCTATTGTACGTATACGAGATGCTCTAGAATTCAATAAGAAATACATATCTTTATTTTACGTATCTTTATTAATCAAATAAATAAATTTCATCGACGAAAATTTCACTTAAAATTGAGTGAGGTATAAAAGATATTTTATTTTATTGTTATGTATTAATTTTCAATTTATAAAAATTCGAAATAATTTTTGCAATTTCTAATAAAGAGAAATAGAAAAAGAACAAAAAAAAATTAATATTTTACGTACATATTACAGTGCTGTTAATATTATATCTTTGATATTTTTTTTATATATAAAATACATTTTCTTTATATATAAAATACATTCTCATATTATGGAATACACAATTGCACTGCAATTAACACAGGTGCTACGTTCACACGCATTGCAAAATAAAACGTGGCTAATTGTCGATTAATTGCATCAACACGATAATTATAGCTCTCTTTAGAATCCGGTTCCGTGATTATGCGAGTTTCTCGAATTTCGCGCGAAGAACCAGAGTTTTCAAGATTAGGCGAATAGATTATTTCGCGCGAATAATTCGCAATGAAAAACCATTCTCAGAATCTATTGCGACCGCTGAAAGGAAGTCCTTCCTGTTCTGTCCTGTGCAACGTTGCAAAGTTATAGCAATTGGATTGCGAGGCGCGAATGGATTTGCCATTTCGCAACCGCACAGTAGTATAACGCGAAACCTACGGGCAGCATCAAAAGAGGCCGCTAAGTGGATTAAAGGCGAGTTTCTTCGTCATCTTCTTCGTCTAGAACTCTCTTTCTTTCTCTTTCTCTCTCCCTCTCTCTCTCTACTTCTCTCTTCCTTTGCTACTCCTGCCGCGGCATCCTGCCGTTCTTATTTGTTCCTGTCTCGGCACGAAGTCCTTCGTTGCAACCGCGCTTCGTCAGAAGTCACGGATGAAAGAAGATAATTTACTTAACTTAGGTTTAATCGTGTTTGCGCGCTTATTTATTCGCGTCGTTTGCTTCAACAACATTTGGGTTTAACGCGTTTGAAATTTAATTCGATGACGAAATGATAGTGATTAATCACGATATTTCAAGTTGCAATCATTTTTAATATATAT